CGGTCGATTTCCACTCGATTCCGTGTCCCGTCTGTGCTATATGTTTTACTATTTTGGTTCTTTCATTATTCATGTCCTTTATGTTCCTTGATTCGTATGCTGATTTTAATTTCTGTTTCACCAATATCTTTCTCTCAATTGCCGCAAATGATGCCATAGGCTCCCTAGCAATGTATTTTTTATATTTCCTTGTGCTGCGTCGCCAGGCTGGTGAAGTGTTGTCTTCTTTTCTTATCATTTTGATATTTGATTTTCTTAGCATCTATCGCAATTTTTTGCTCAGTTCATAGGCGAACAGGCATATCTACTTTTTCCAGGCCACTACTCTATACGAAGCTTTAATTTTCCCCAAGCTGCCTCTGGAATTGTTGCAAAACATATCGACTTAATGGCCCATTTATATCATTACCATTCTGCAATAGATTTCGCCAAATTTCGTTCCTTAACAGCCAATCTAATCTCTAAAAAATTTCCTTGGATTAATCAAGTTCTGTTTAATAGGATACTTTCTGCATAATACGCTTTAATCTATTCATTTGGTATGCCATTAGCATTAGCATTCTCATATATGCATTATTATTATCAATCTTTATCCTACTATCCGTCTATTCTTTTCTCTTTATTGATCATCTTTCGTCTGTTTACACTTCTATACCCCTTTATGATAATTTTGTAATTTTAATTTTTGCTATAATTCTTCTTGCTCTTAACTTTTTACTTTTTAGTCTACAATTCTATCTATGTCATTTCTCCAACATTCTCATTTTTCTAGTCAGGTCGGACTCGAGCCCATTTGTCCCCCGAGGACATCAACGCACTTGTCTGTGAGAGGAATCATTTCAAAAAGCAGTTGATGGAAATGCGCGAGGCCATCCATTGGAGTGAATTGCTTCGTGCCCAATGCCTGGAGGCTAAACCTATGACAAAATGTTCAGTTTCCTCTCCAGGCGTTTGGACGACTACACAACCCTCATTGAAGAGGAGCGGTGTTTGGAAATTGTAAGCCTTATCTATGCCATAACTATTGATTTATGTATAATTTCTAATATTTTTTCGAGAGCGTAAAATAATACAAATTATTTGACCTTGTTTTCGCAACTTGGTCATATTGGTAGGAA